TTCTCCTATTTCTTTTTTTCTGATCTCCCTCCTTTTTATTTTTTTAAAATATTTATTTATTTATTTATTTTTAGCTGAGCCATCCTGCCACCTGTTGGCAACTCAGCGGCAGCTCAGCTCGGGCTGGGACTCGAACCACTGTTGCTCAGAGCTCACACTCTTTAGCGAGCTCTTAACCAACTGAGCCACTCGGCTAGCCCTACTGATCTTCCTCCTTTTTAGAAATTATACATTGGCACAGCCTTCAGTATGTAGTCAACTCTTTTTTTTTTTTTTTTAAGATTTTATTGGGGAATTGGGGGAGGGGAACAGTGTTGGGGAATCAGGGAAGGGGAACAGACAAGTTGCTGTCGTTCTGTTCTTCAGTCTAGTTGTGGAGGACGTCGCTTCACTGGCCCATTTGGTATTATCATAGCGCTCTTTCCAGGTGAGACAGTCTCTCGCCGGCTATTGGGCGGCCACTCACACTGGCTGCCGGCTACTCACTGTGGCTCACGGCAGCTCACGGCAGCTCACGCCTGCTGCTGGCCAGCCCCACTGCAGCCTACACCATCGCTGGTAACTCATGGCAGCCCAGCTCCAAGTCGAGCTGTTGTTCACCATCTTAGCTGCAGAGGGCACAGTGTCACTGGCCCTCATGTGGGATCCGAACCAGGGTCCTGCTGCTCAGAGCTGGCGTCCCAAGTCAACTCTTAACCAACGCGCCACTTGGCCGGCCATACAGTCAACTCTTGAAGTTCCAGTTGTGAGGGAGAAAATTTTAAAGTCCATCTGAACCAATTATTGTCATAGATGCTCACATATAATGAAATGAACCCAATTTGATGCATGTAGGAAACATTATTAATAAATAGAAAGAGCACAGTGTAGTGTAGTGGCTGAGATTGTAGGCCCTATTTCTTCTAAGCAAAATACAAACCACAGAAACCATAAAGGAAAAAGTTTGATAAATTTAGCAACATTAAAAATGAAATTTCTGAGCTGGCTGAGTGGCATGATGGTTAAGAGCTGGCTCGGGACACCAGAGGGCCCCGGTTCGGATCCCACATATGAGGGCCAGTGATGCTGCCCTCTACAGCTAACATGCTGAACAACAGCTCAACCTGGAGCTGGGCTGCTGTGAGTCGCTGGCAACAGCGTAGGCTGCAGCCCCTGCTGTAGTGGGTTGCCGTGAGCTACTGTGTAGCCAGCAGCCAGCGTGAGCAGCCAGCAGCCGCAGTGAGCGGCCGTCCAGAAGCCGGCGACTGATCTGCGTCGCCCGGGAAGAGCGCAACAATGGTGCCAACTTGGGCCAGTTAAGCAACGTCCTCCACAACTAGACTGAAGAACAAAAGGATAGCAACTTGTCTGTTCCCCTTCCCCTAATTCCCCAATAAAAATCTTAACCAAAAAAA